GATTGTTCTTTTCTTTTTTCTAAGAGAAAATTATTAAATTTGTTGCGTTTCTTGTACACTGGAATCACTTGATGAAAAAGTAATTTATTATTGATAACAAAGAAAACTCTCATCTTAATACTTCTTCTGAAGGTCTTTAGAAAAAAAAAACAATATAGAAAATTTTATAGTTTTCTAATATTTCCAGCTAAAAGTCCTGAAATCTAGTTAAAAATTTTCGTGCCAGTATATCAATTCTTTTGAGATTCTAAATAATATCTACTTAGGGTATACCAAAAGTTCTGATCACAGTTTTTAAAATTTAATAAAGCAATAAATATTGAATATTTTACTAAGGCAATATATAGTATAACGTCTCGTCTTTAATAATATATAGAGCAACTCTCTCTTAGACTTAGTTCTAACATCCTTTCAGACTAAATCTATAGTATTTATAGCCAAGAAAAGATCATGCCAACATAAAACCACAATACAGAAACGAAGAGACATTCGTTATTTTATTTTATTAAATGCTCAAAATAATCACCATTATTTTCGATACAAAGTTTCATTCTTTCTAACAGTTTATCGAAAGTCTTTTTAAACTCGTTTATTGGAATATTCTTCACTATGGTGGAAACCTCTTGAGCTAATGATTCTTCGTTTGTGTGATCCGTCAACTTGTTCTTGATATAATCATTTAGCCAAAAGTCATACGGTGCGAGATCTGGTGAATATGGTGGATGCGGAATGATTTCGATTCCTTCCTCCATTAAATAATCAATAACATCTGGATGAGTATGAGGAGGACCATTATCATGAAGCATTTTATATGTAGTACGTGATGACTTTTCCTTTTTAGTGTACTCAAAAAGTGAGTACACTACTAGAACCGGTCAGTGTGTCCGGCCGTCCGGCCGTCCGTCCGTCCGTATACACGATAACTTTCGAAAGGAGAATCAGATCGCGATGAAATATTTTACACAGTTCAGTCTTTAGAATATCTCGGTCGAGTTCGAAGATGAGAAGGATCCGTCAAGAAATGGCTGAGTTATCGAAAAAATTGTGATTTTTGACTAGACCATCCCTGAGGGGGGGTACGGGGATTTTTCGAAAAAAACTTTTTTGCTCATAATTATTCACAAAATACATAAATCGACTCAGTTTTTAACGCTGATTCTGAATCTGATATTAGTTTTGAACCAAATCATACTTTTGTGTACTCAAACAGTGAGTACACTATAGAATAGTCGGTGTGTCCGTCCGTCCGGTTGGCTGTTTTCATGATAACTTTTGACAGCAGAGTCAGATTGCGATGAAACTTTCTACACAGCTTAGTCTTGACAATATTTCGGTCGAGAGAAGAAGATGAGAAGGACTGGCCGAGCCGTTCCTGAGTTATTGCAAAAATACTCATTTTTCCCTATAGCTTCCTATGGAAAAATGGACCCATCGCGACTTCCGTAAAAGACTTTTCCTATCATAGTCAATTAAAACCCCAACTGTTATATACCATTCGATAGAGAATTTCAAGAGCTACAAAATGATATATAAAACATAAAGAAACAAGTAGGTAGACTCACCTATCACAAGGATAATTAAAGAAAACTAAGTTATATTTTGGTCCACAATCGAATTGATTCACAAATAGAGCTCTGTCTTTCTATCACAGTGATGATACTTCGAGGTTTTCAGATATGGAGAACTCGAATGTGTACTGCACTTCGATCGAAATACTATTGGTTGTGCAGTGACCAATAGAAATCAAGTTATAGGAAAAACGACTTTCTTAGGGTAAATCAAGGGAAAGAGTTCAAACTCGAGCTGTATTCGGTCCCATGTCCTATTGATTTGGCAACGCGCAATAGAAATCAACGTTTTAAATGGTAGGTTCTGCAGTATAGTTTTGATGTTCAGACATTCTAGGATGACTGATTTGTATGATTCACTTTTTGAAGTACACATAACTCTCGGATTTAAATCCGAAGTTTCCGCATTTATTTCTTATTTCATTGATAACAGGTATAAGACAATTATCAATATAGTAGTCATGATCGATTGTCTTGCCCTTATCTACTTTGTGTATGAGAAGAGAACCAGTGGATTTGAAGAAGAAGCAAAATAGTGTTCTAGGTTCAAATCTATTCCGACGAACAATGGTTCTTGGTAGTTCATTTTCGCCAACCCAAGTAGCATTGCTTGACTTTCGACCAATCTGCCTGTGATAAATCCATGTCTCATCACCAGTAATAACATCACATAAATGCCATGTTCCATTTCTAAATTTCTCTAAATTTTGACGGCAAATTCTAAGTCGTTTTTGTTTTTGTTCGTCAGTAAGTTGATGAGCAACCCAACGTGATGTAACTTTTCTCATCTTTAGACGATCATGAATAATTCGTTCTATTGTACCACGTGATAGATCAGTCTCACCCATAATATCATCATAAGTTGAGTGTGGATCATCTTCGATAACTTGTCGAACGCGTTCAACATTTTCATCTGTAAGTACCGAAATCGGACGACCAGATCGAGGATCATCAGTGACATCGTCTCTTCCTTCACGAAAACGTTTCGCTCATCTTCTGACTGTTGGATATGATGGAGCATCAGGTCCCAATGCCTCTGTAAGTTCGTCAAAGATTGTTTTTGAATCTATTCCAAAAATAGCTCGAATTTTGATATAATATCGATTGAATTCATCAGTCATGTTTAATGTCTTCTTTTAAGATTGAAATCAAATTCTATTACGATTTTAAGTCGAGTACGGTACAAATGAACTAACAGCGAACGACCTCTCATTTATATATACTATCGAAATGTAATATTCTAGAACATGACGTCATAAAACGTGACGAGAGAGTGACCAATAGAAAGTTCCAGAATGTACCTGACCATTGAACAAGAATTAATAATATTTGCATTGTCTGTAAAATTATAGATTTAGTCTGAAAGGATGTTAGAACTAAGTCTAAGAGAGAGTTGCTCTATATATTATTAAAGACGAGACGTTATACTATATATCGCCTTAGTAAAATATTCAATATTTATTGCTTTATTAAATTTTAAAAA